TCGCTAGACATAATTACTGTATCAAACGCAAATATAAGTTTGTTGAATGTTAGGTTTCCTGCCAGTGGACCTGACGCTGTAACTGTAGGACTGACGGTTGAAATTTGTGTGGTTGTTTGTTACTCAGCCTCACATCAAAACGGCTGAAGGGACCGGGACATGACATTTGGAACAGAGGTAGATAATGAACTGGAGTAATACATAGGTTATTTACCGCTGGTAGAAGCTAGTAGAAGATGAAAATCGTCCTACACGTTTATTACATGATTACCAATTCGACAGTGAGGCTTAACCTATTGTGTGTGTTTATTGCGTAAGTTAAATAATAATTTCGAAATGCAAATTTTATTATTGTCTACTGTTAAAATTAATAGTAAGTTGGTACCAACTGATATTTTTATTCTTAGCTGTAGTTTGACCAAGAAGCATTTCCGACGTTTGGCTCCTAAGTTGGAACGACTATCAAAATCGAGGGCTGGGCTCACTGTACGAAAGCTTCGGTAGGTTCCTGTTTCTGATTGGGTGAGAGGAAACGCCCAGGTGTTATCACTCCGCCCGGAGGACAGGGTTAATCATACAGTGGCGGTGCGCCCTGTGCGGGCTGACCGACGCCGTATCCTCAGGGATGATCAGCGACGGCGACCTCTCTTGTCCGGCTCTGGTTCAGACCATGGTGCAGAGCGAGCGAGACTGGGATGCCGTTTCCTCCTTCTACGAGGCATTTATGCTAGCTAAGGAGGCCCGGTGGTCCGGTGTGTATACCACATCTGGTATACACACCGGGCGTCGGGGATCGCGAGACGAGATCCGGCCACCGTAAGCAGGACTCTGCGAACGGCGAGCACGCCGCCCGATCAAAACCAGACCCGAGCGTACGGCGTATTGCGTTCCGCGCGCGCCTCATAAAGCTATTAGACCTCCACAGATGGGGCATCGTAGGCCTGATGCTGACATGGAGCCGCGGAAGACTTAACTTTCAAAAAAAAAGAAGTTTGACCAAGAAAACGCTACTTACGTTATAAAAAGAAAAAAATGTGTTTCGCAATGTAAGTGGTAATTACTAGAGATTAGTATTTTATTTAATTATGTGGTATCAGGGAAGGTACGGATCTTAAAATAAACGATCTTACGAAATTCGTTTTCGTTCAGGATTTCTCTTAATCTTCTTTAACATCGTTTATATTGATTATGGGGCTCCTCCTGCTTAATTTATATTCAGCTAGTGTTTTTTCATCACATCTTGCGCTAAACATAGCAATTTGTATCGTAGTTGGCGTAAGTCGAAGGGACTTATCACCTTTTCTCTTTGACATTCTGACTTTATGCTCATGGACTATTACATTACTTGAAAAGGGACTCAGCCGTATTTACAATATTATTGTTTTTCAAAATGTGATTTCTTCATAAATATAGTAAACATTGCCAGTTACAGTGTCGAAAACAAGTCTCGAGTTCGATTCTCGAGTCAGATTAAGTAATATAGGAGTTATTTCGGTTTTAGGAAAATGTTTCAGTAATAACGAAGTTTGGCCAAAGTTGCAGCCAATGTTTATACATTATTGTAAAAAAGAGGCTGTTGAATATGTTTTTATTCACAGAGAACTTGAACTTGAAAATATTGCGCATGATTTCACAACCACGATGACAATTTGACAGATGATTTAATCTATAGTACCTATGCATATCTATATTTTTGAATAATTAATGTATAAAACTGAAAAGTTTGTGTGTTGGTTTAAACGCGCTAATCTCCAGAACTACTAGATCCAAATTACATATTCTTTGTACTGGATAGTACATTTATCGAGGAACGATATTTATTTATTTATTTATTTAGAAAATGTATGTCGGCGCCGCCGTCATTATTTTGTAAACTGCGAATGTAATGGGCGAGCAGTGAACAAACAACTGACCGACGTCACTTCAACCCCACCACCGAG